TCTCTCTCTCTCTCTCTCTCTCTCTCTCTCTCTCACTAATCGGTGGAACCTCTCATCTCCTCACCCTCACCTCCCTCAGGAAAACACACACTAAAAAACACCCTAACTGCCACCACCAAAATGGATTTGTGGTGTTGGTTGTACTTTTTGGTGGTTGATTTGTGGTGGCTGGAAGGAAAAATGGCGGTGAGGATCTGATGGTGGATTTTGAAGAAGATGATGTATCTTCTTGGTATTAAANNNAGAGAGAGAGAGAGAGAGAGAGAGAGAGAGAGAGAGAGAGAGAGAGAGAGAGAGAGAGAGAGAGAATTGTATTTGCTTTCTATTTTTAATTAAAAACTATTTTTTTCTATTTTGAGTTAAAAACTAGTGGAGTAAATAAAAAGAAAATAAAAAAACAATAACAAGGGCAAAAAAATCATTTTAACCTCTTCCAAATTTGAAACGGACCAAACCTGCAATAAAATGAAATGTTTGGACCTATGGTGCTAGTCCAAACCTTTTAAACAAAAATGGTATTTTTCAGCAAACTATAAGGACCATCTGTGCAATTTAGTCTAAAAATATATGACTTTGATATTAGTAGAGAAACTAAAACAGATTTTATATCCAATTTCATATAACTTATTATTTTAATAGATTAAAAACTTTAAAAAATATCTATTAATGTTTTTTTTTAATCGGAGGAGAACTTATGATCTACTAAAAATAATTCAATAAAAAATTAAATTTAATTTATATATATATATATATATATATATATATAATAATAATAATAATAATAATAATAATAATAATAATAATAAAAAACTTTTATTCCTTTTTTATTGGTATCTTATTCTATAAAATAAAAACAATCAAATATTTATAATAATAATTTGGTGTTATTGAAAATTAATATAAAAATCCAAATAACTAAAATTAATGGTTATATCTTAATTATCCAATTGTAAAGTTCGATTTTATTGTGATAATAAATAACCTTTCGATTTTATTCAAATAATTGACACTTATACTAAATCGGACAAAATAAATTATCCAATTATCTTAATGGTTATATCTTAATTATCCAAATGTAAAGTTCGATTTTATTGTGATAATAAATAACATTTCGATTTTATTCATCTATTTACCTAACACTTATACTAAATTGGACACTAATTTGGAAACATTAGTATCAAACTAAATAGTTACATTATGTAAAACAAAAATTAAACCAAATTACGTTGATATGTAGTATATTTAGTTCTTTTTTTAAATCAAAATAATTACTTGCAATCAAACATTATATAAAACAAGTACTAGTGATCCTCGTTCGTCCCCCCAAAATTGGCATAATTTGCCAAAAGAGCCCCTCGTCACGTTTCTCTCTCGCACTGTTCCCCTTAATCAGCTTACGCATCTGATAATGACCAACTTATATTTGAGAATATGCTACCTGGACCATTTGGCATATATGTGGGGTCTACGTGTCCACTATTGATTGGTCCCGGTGTACTAGTGATGTATAGTTGGAATATATTGATTAATCATGGCCATTACTTTAAATTGGATCATAAAAACATATGAGGCGTATGTGCACCCTCATCCATACAAGATTTCATGCTATTAAGACGTTGATGTAACATATATTTTGAGCATGACTCTTATTCATGTCCCCCACTTTAAACAAGTGAACAACTTTTTTCACATTAAATTAATGTACTTTTAATTTTAATATACATTGTTTTAAGAGTCGGATATTTTAGTATCTAATATTAAACAAAAAAATTCAATAATATATATAAACAAACCAAAACATAATAGTTAAATGTCACTCTAAATTGTCGGTTATCACTCCCAAACACAAGTTCGGGTTACGTGCGACACATCAACAATTATAAGATACCAAGAAAATAAATAATGCACAAAAATTTACATAGTTTATACAATAAGGATAATCGGAGGATAATCGGGTTACGTATACATAAATTTTACAAGTACAACATATAAGAAGAAAGCCGAGCCTAATATCACATACTTGCCAAGATCATAAAACATCCAGAACCTCTTGAGAAGGCTTCAAACCTAGAAGTCCCCTTAGGCTTAAGGGAGTGGAGTGCGGTTTAGGCCGCACGCAGCACACAATGCCACATGGCAGGAACACCGTCCCCTCTATGCGGTTTTGGGTGCGGTTTGGCTGCACCTCTCCCAAAAACTGTTGCACCCTCCTTCTTCTCTCTCTTTATTCATGTGTATTTCTCTCTCTTCTCCTTTCTCTAACCTCTCTCTTTCTCTACTATGGTTTCCACTCCCTGGGTGTGGTAAAGAACCGCACTTTGTGTGGTAAAAATGATGTGGCTTCTACGTGTCAAAGGAGGGAGTGCGGTTCTTGTGGCACCACTCCCTCCAGCCTTACTCAACTCAACCCAAACTTTTATTGAAAAACAATTATATCTCATCCACATAAACAACACAACCAATTAATATCGATTTGTGTAACAAAGGGTTCCGTTCATCAAAATTTTTAGGTTTGACTTTATTGGCAGATTTTAGGTCAACTTGCTCCTATTAATAGTTTTCCGCTTCTTATTCTTTCTTATGTGCGGAAAAATGCAGGCTAGATTCAAGATTGTTTACTGATTTATATACATACTAGTTTTTTATGATTAATAAAATTTATTTTCTCATTCACCCCTAGATTAGCCGATCACTTTGATCGTGTAAAGTGTAAACCACAATAAATATTGTATTATTGTTTTGATTGCGTTATTATTCTGTGTGTATGTATTAGTATTTATGATTTATATACGTACTAGTTCTTGATGATTAATAAAAGTTATTTTTTCATTCGCCCTTAGATTAGCAGATCATTTTGATCGTATAAAGTGTAAACCACAATAAATATTGTATTATTGTTTTGATTATTACTCTTGTGTATGTATTATTATTTATAATCAATAGTAATTGCATTTACTTGGTATTACCTTAAACATTTTGTGGGCTGGTCAATCAAAATCATATATTACACATCAAAATGGAACCCATTTTCACTTGATTTGACTGCATCCTTCCCACTTCCAATATTTTTATTTAAGAAGCATTATAAATCATCAACAAATATAATTTTCTATTTTGTTTTTATTTACTAACTGCATTAACATATAACACCTCACCTTGAAGGAGAATATAGACTTAATAACCATTTAGTCTCCAATAAACCCTATCCCCATTGACAGAGGGACAAAAGTGTCCAAATTTTTATCTTGCCCAAATCAAAATCGAAAGCATTATCGTTAACTTTGCAGGGTTTCTTAGCAATCATAACTGCTTTATGTTTTGATCAATTTCTTCTAGGGGTGAACAATGAAAATGACAGGGTATTAATTTGTTTGAATATTGTACCAATAGTCGGTATATATATATATATATAATCAATGTATTAAGTACAAATTTTAAAGAATAAGGTACAAAAAATTAAACATGTTATCTTAAAAAACAAGGAAACATGATCTGTACCGTTGAATCTAATTTGAATGGTGGGGATTAAAAGCATGGGCCTATCACACGGATTGCCAACATGTTATAATCTTGGTCATCCGTTTTTTATGCAAACAAATAAACGGCTTGATCTCCCTTACTTCTCTTTACTCAGAAAGACCAGTTGATGAACAAACCCAACGATTAATCTTTTATCTAAACTGATTCTCTTTACAATCATGTTCTACCTTTGATTTTGATATCTCCTTCCCCTGGTAAGCTCTCTATGAAATTGAAAATTGTTGAAGATTCTTCCCACCATTTTTTCTTTTTGTACTAATGTCGCACCACTATGAGTTCCATTTTTAGCAGACTAAATCTCCTTACTTTTGTTCTGGTATAAACGACTTTGCAGTTGTATTCGATTTGTTGGGCTAGAGGTAACTAATCTTGAAGTTTTACAAGATTGTGCCGAAGAAACAACTGACTGGTTCATTTTTTAACCTTAATTGATTGTTGTGTTTTCTTCTCAACAACTCCTGTTTGTTATCCGAATTTGATGGGGTTCGACTTCATGTTTTAGGGCTCAAAAAAAGTTGAATTCTTCAACGATTATGCTCTGTGTATTCTCAACAATCTCCTGTTCATTTTGTCTTTACACTTCCAATTAAGTTACTTGTTTCAGTTTATTGAACGATTTTGAGTGTTATTATTATTATTTTTTCTTGAGTTGGTTTTGGTGTTCTATTATTTAACCGAAGATTTCACCTCATTACTGGTTTTTTTAACTCTTGTAGTTGAATCTCGATCCTCTCTCCTATTTTTACTTTTCCTTATTCAAACAAGGTGTTTTTCATACTAAATAGATTGAGATCTAAGATTAATCTATTTTACATACGGGTTCTAATCTAAAATATTAGGATAAAAGATGTTTCATGTAGTCCCATTTTACTCAAAAGCTCTCAAAAGCAAGTAAATCATGGTGGAACTTAAGCATATAGTTGAACCCAAAAATGCTGTGAACCTATTTCGGTTTGAACATCAGCAATTATTAATTTGTATATATAGTTTCTTTATACTATTAATCACATTAGTTCTTGTTCTTTTATCGTTTTGTGTATGTATGTAGATTATGACTATTGTGCTTTTTCACTTTTCAGATATTGTAGCTTGGAAGAGATTTGAAGTTATTGAGGCAGCATGTATTAGGCTCTTGGTACAATTTTTAATTTTTTCCTTTGGTACTTGCAGCTTTGGAAAACTAATTGTAATGGCAAAATTTGGATTTCCAAAAACGATGTTAAAAACAAGTTTTATGTATTTTGTTGGTTCAAGCTATCTGTTGTGTGTATGCGGATTCATACAAACTAAGAGTTCTTATGGTTTTTTGTGGGTTTTGATTTTGATGTGGGTTTCGATTTTATGTTTGTAATCCAATTTTGATGTGGGTTTCGATTTTATGTTTGTAATCCAATTTTGTTATTCGAATTACCATGCAATTCTGTTTGTAAAATAATTTTTATCCCAAACCCAAAGGACTAAATTTTTTGCGGGTTTTGATTTCAGTTGCTAGAGGTAAAACAAACTGAATTCTTCCAAGATTTTGCCAAAAAACAAGGTACAAATTTTTTTTTCTCTTGGTTTGATTTTTGTGTGGGTTTTTTTTCTCTTGGTTTGATTTTTGTGTGGGCGTTGATTTCAGGTCCTAATCCTGAAATGACCAATATGTCCCAAACCCAAACCCAAACCCAAAATGATCTTTGATTTTGGTGTTATGTTTGTAAAATAACCTTTTTTTTGTTTGTTTCTTATTATAACATTCCCTAAACGACCAATATACTCGTAGACACACCCAAAATGACCAAGTTCCTGTTTTTTTTCTTATAATAGCATTGCGGTTTTGTATTTTGGTAGTAAGTTCTTGTGAGAAATCCACGTCAACGGAATTTGATCGATAAATTTTGAATAGTTATTACAATAATATTTAACTTATTTTTTGTAAAATAACTTAAATCTGTTTTACTAAAATGCTAATTTAGATGTTGTCGGTAAAGTTATTGATAGCCGACTTTAAAGCCATGATTCTGCGTGTGATATATTTATTCAAGATAAATCGCAAGATTTTAGAATATTATTATCATTATTATTATTAAAATACTAATTATTAATTACTATTAAAATTAATATTTCAAATTTTTACAATGGCTACGTAATTCAACTCATTTTGAATGATGGTCATGAAGCTTTACATTTTAGACTCACATAATCAATGCAAGGAAAATGGATCATATATGTATCCTGTGTTAAATATCGAAGCCAAGCGGGGAGAGAGTATAAACTTTTCACTAGAGTTTGTTTAGCGAATTAATTAGTTTTACAATCCATTTAACCTATAACAACACACTTTCATATTTAACCTATAACAATACACTTTCATATTTAAACTATAATAGCAATATGTTTACATATTTAACCTATAATAGCAACATATTATTATTTGTAACCAAATTAACATAGTAATATATTTAAACTAAAAAAATACAACATTTTCGTTTTTAGGCTAAATTACAATGATTTAACAACATATCGAAAGAAAACATTAATCATTAATGAAACTAATCGTCGTCCGTTGCCATATAAAGAGTAATAGACGGAAATTACTATTTACTGTCCGTCTAGGGACAGCTGAACGCCGAAAGAAACAAATCGTCAGAATGAAACAAATCAAAATGAAACAATTTGACGATCGCCGAAATGACACTAAGTTTCGTTCGAAAACTAATAGTCGGAATGAAACAAATTGTTGTCGCCGCATTGCGCGGGTACGCTACTAGTATATATATATATATATATATATATATATATATATATATAT